ATCGATAAAAGAAATACTCGGACGGGAACGGTGGCACCAAAGTTATCCGCAATATCCCGGGTGTGCTCCAGGTACCGTGTCGGAGCCAGAGGGTATTCGTCGGCGGATGCTCCGGGTCCCGCGGGAGTCTGAGCCCGCGTCAGAGCTGGCCGGGCGGAGGGCGGGGGATAGGATCCCTCGGGAATCAGCTCTCGACTTCCCTTGTAGCAGCCACCCAGCAGCAGCAGCAGCAGCAGCAGTCACCGCAGCAGAGCAGCCCTTCCCAATGGCTGCTCTCTCGCTCGCTGGCTGGCTCTCTGCTGTCTGGCTGCCTGTCACGAGTCCAAGACGTACGGCGGCGGCTGCAACCGGGGAGCAGAGATAGCAGTCGGTCCGGATAACCCGCAGGGCGCTCCTTTATTCACGGCGTATCGATTAATGACTCGAAACCCTGCCTGCCAGCCAGCCAAGCTTCTAACCGCGCTCCGCCAGCCTGCGGGATCGACGTCTCCGAGTCTCCCGCGACCCGCCGCGATCCCCCCGAGATATCGTTAGCGAGATTATCGTAACCGGTAATCGGGACTAGTAGCCGTTCCCTCTTCCTTCGAGGCATCGTAACGAGTTGACCCTAGCAGGACACAAGCTCACGGGCTTCAACCATCCGCTCGCTAGCTGGAAAGTGTCTCTCGGCTCGCTTTCATTTGTCCTTTAGCTACCTGGTCACTTCGTTTCGCTCGTGGTTGCTCGTTTTATGGACACTACTCACGAAAGATACAATCGATTGAACTATACACTTCAAAGATCCCCCACATTCTTCAAGTAAGAAACCGTTGCGTATAGAGAAGGAGAAAAGATTCGACGCGTTCCACGTTTCGAAACGCCGCGCCGCGGGATCCAGCGAGATCCTCACGGCGGAGGGTTTAGCCCCAATATGCAGTTATCGTCCTGGCGCATATAGATTGGCTTATAATAATACGTCTCTTCTGTATTAACTTAGAAACGTGTTTCGCAGTGTTCTTTCCCGCAGCGGGCTAGCCTAGATTCTAGAAAATACGAACTTTCCGAAGCATGCATTCCCCGTAACGATATCGCTCGAAGTCTTCCCTGTTCCGTAAACCGACGCGACGATTTCGAATTAAAACGGAGAGAAGGAATCATCTTTCCTTGAAATTCCATTCTCTTCTTGTTCCCCGGAGCCAGCTGGAGCAGCATTTTCCAGCGAGCAGTTCTCCGGCCGATGGTGGCTCGGTTTTACAGTCCACCTACGTCACGCGCCGTTACGAATGTATCTGGAAGCGTTATCGAAAGTACAACGTACGGGGTTAAGCCGCAATATGCAGTTATCCCCGGGACGAGGGTGCACGTGGGTCATAATAATACATCCGTTTAACGTTGCCCGGGACTGGAGGCGGGCCCCGAGATTGCTCGAGCTGTATTTTCGAGAGCTTACACCGGCGTCTTTGTCCCGGTCGTCGGGCGGGCTGGAACGGTTCCGCGCGCGCCTACGCCAGACAGGACCCGTATTACGTTGCCTTCTTACGCTCATATCGTACATAAACACAGGTGCACGGCCGCATAAAGCTACCGCCCACCCCACGGGCCAGGCCCGCGCCGAGATGATAGCCAATCCCCTTACCTTTACGATTATTGTCCGACCGGGCTATTCCCGGCCTCACCGCCGAATTGTTTACAGTATTTACGATAGATCGAGTCCCAACGCGCCGCGGGACGCATACGAACCGAGCGATCGCTCGCCAGAATTCCGCGATGCTGCGACGTTAGCCCTATTGAGATTGGATCTTGCCTTTCGATTCGGTTGTAGGTATTAACGCGTTGATTGTCACCGCGATCACCGGTGATTGGCATTTCCGAATTGCCTCGAGGTAATTAAATTATGTAAGACGATTGATATTGGAGACAAATGTTTGGCAACTCGAGCAATCGGATGATAGAGTAATGGTACAATTGAACATTTGCACTTGGGGGATTGATAGTCAGTTGATTCGACGTAGCAACATTAGAGAGTTTGATATTTAATAGTAGTAACTTTATAGTTTAACCTTTTGCACTCCGAGTCATTTTTTATATGACGTCTCAGCAACTCCGAGTCGTTTCTTTGGGCTAGCAGCTACTCCGAGAGTATTTACAGTGGTGCGAGATGGCGCAATTATGTAACAAATATAACAATAGGAGAAACCATTTATAGAAAATAAAATTGTTTCTAGACGCCGCCGCGCTGAGTCGCCGTAACGGCTATAACGAAGTGCAAAGGATTAATTTATGTTGGACTTATTCTTTAAGTTCATTCTAAGAAGTGTCTAGGTTTGATTGGAAAACAATGAACGTTTCTAGTGAGAAACTTCCAAGTGCGAAGGATTAGTCCTTCAGTGTTCCGAAAGGGAGTCCAAAACTCCTTGAAGAAGTTTCTGGGATACGGTGTTTAGGGTATAGAAGGGACTATGCTCCGTCAGGTTGACGAAAGAATTTCTTGGAGGGCGCGAGAGACAGCCGTCCGGATAGGGGAGGGAAATTCTGCGGCAATTAGCGGGACAAGGTAGAACCACGACGGAAAACTGCTCGCCGGCAGGAGTTCTCGATGATGGATGAACCATTAACCGTTGATATCTTTGGCGGCGGGGCGCGCTCGTCGCTCGACAGAAGCCCTGACAGCTGACAGGGCGGAGGGTGCGAAGGTTCAATCGAAGGGCGGTTGCCAGCGGTGCCTTGGCTGATGTCTTCTGGAATATTTAAGACCGGCTTCCATTCCCTCGCTCCTACGATGCGCTCGTTGTTTCTCGTCAGCGGGCTAATGCTCCCGCCGTCTATGGGAGGACGGTTTCAGCTGGCTCTCCCCGAGGCTTTCCAATAAAGTCGATGGTCGTAGGAATTTTCTGGGAGAGCTTCATCAAACTTTCGCGATTATCAACCCCGTGATGCTGATTTGTCTTATCTGCGAAGACTCTTTCGCGCTTTAACATCTTGGGGATTGGCTGCTGTCTCGGTAGTTATCTCTATTGTCAGTGATCTCTGCTTAAACTTCGATATCTTGATAATTGGCTAGTGTCACGGTAGTTACTTCTACTAATTTCTAAGCTTCATATCCTAGAGATCAACTACAGTTTCAGTAGCCACTTTTAGTCGTTTCTATGGTTCAATATCTGAGAGCCTGGCTGGTGCCTCGGTAATCATCTCTAGTGTCAATAGCCTCCACTTAAACTTCGACATATTGATGATTAGCTAGTGTCTTAGTAGTTACTTCTAGTCACTTCTAAGTCTCAGTATCTTTGAGACTAGTGTCTCAGTAATTATCTCTAGCGTCAGTAGTCTGTACTTATCCTTCAACATCTTGATGATTGGATAGTGTCTTAGTACTTACCTCTACTAATCCCTAAACTTCAGTATCTTAAAAACTACCTAATGTCTCAGTAATCATCTCTAGTGTCAATAGTCTCCACTTAAAATCGCCCCAGTCACAAACGAGAACGCCATATTCCATGCAGCCAATTACCATTAATCACCTTTCATTTTCCCGAACCTGCATTCTTCGATTCCGTTTCGACGGACATTGAAAATCGACCGATCACGTATCACGCAGAAGTTACCCGTTAAAGGGGTCGATTGGAACGCGTATATCGGGTCGTGGCGCTCGACCCGGATCGCGCGGCGCGAGCTACCACCCCGGCGAAGGACCGGGGCCGTTCGTTGTTGTATATCATCAAACGCGAAACGACGAGCCGTGTTTTCGGAATGAAATATACCCGCGGAGCGCACTGACGTGGCTGCCGTATACCAGAGCCATCCGTTTGTCACGCGGGACCACAAAATTAAACTTAAAAAATTACACCCCTGTCCACGTGGCCAACAGGTCGTTTGTTATTTTCCATTCACCCGCCTCCCGACCGTCGCCGTTCCTCTTCGCCGCTCTTCGTCCCTTCCGAATCGTCGCCTCTCTCCCTCTCCCACCCCTCCGCCGCAGTACCAGGCAACGAACTTGCCACTCCGGCCGATTGCCAGCGTTTCCGAAGGTGTCGAATGCGGATTTTTTTTGTGAAACCCGACCGCCCTCAGCTTTTACCTAAACGAGATCGTTCGTCAACCCCTGGCGACTGATTAACCCATTCGCGCGCTGGCCGCACGATCTAACCGGCTCTAACCAGCTCGCACCGTTTCACTAGTTTTTGACGCTGTAGCGCGATCAAACGTGATCCTTCACCGCTGATAGAATCAACCGGCCGGTTCTACGGGAATAAATAAAGAACGTAGAATTGAATCGATCGATTCGAAGCAATGCTCTTTGCAAAGAGCTTTCTTTTCGTGCCCGATCATAACGCACAGTTTCTACTTACAATTGAGTCCCTCAGACGCCAATGCGGTTGAGTCGATTTCTTTATATTTTCTGATTTTTCTAAATTTTAATGGAACGAATAATATTCTCTTTAGTTATTAAGGGATTTACTCGTTTCTTCGTTCTTCCTAAGCCAGAAAGCTGTTTTTATAGCTTCTGAATGTGTTAATCATTTCAGAAGCTAACACATTAATTTTCGCAATTTTTCTTTTCTAGACTGAACCGCATTGTCTGAGCGACTTAATTAGTATAGAAAGTTACGATTGAATCCTAAGAATTTTCATTCTACATACTATAAACAGCAAATGACAAGTGAAACTTGGAATTTTGAACGTGCCGCTGAAACGTTTGAAGAAGCCAGAACCCTAAATTCCAGCTTTCGTTAAGAATTAATAAAGATTTTTGATATAAAGTTTATAATTAGGAATGCAGGATTCAATTTTCAGCGTCAGTGATAAACTGTAAGGTCACTTAACTCCGCAGACCTCGCGGCGCACGTCTTACCTGTACGTTTTAATCGCGTTACTCGAAATCCATATTCATGTCGGCCACGTGGAGCGGGCTTGCGGGCAGCGCCTTGTTTTTGCCTGTTTTTCCGCGCAAATACAGATTTCATTCTTGCCCGGTGATATGCAAATGAGCTGAAATTAATGGTCGGCTGTCTCTCTCTCCGCAGGAGACGAGGAGTGGGAGGACGGGAACGAGCAGAATGTCCTGGAGGTAACCGAGCAGGATAATGGGACAACGGGAATTAAGCGTGAGTGTTACTAAATACTTTCCGCCGTTATCAAATGTTTGCGTAAATCTGCTCGGCCGGGAAACGGCGGCTGGCTTGTTCTCTTTTCGTTCTTGTTTCACCGCGCGCTCCCTGGAAAGTTCACCGGTCTCGACGCGAATAATTTTTACGTTGCAGAGGACGACGAAGAGGAGGAGGAAGAGGAGGAGCTGCAGCGGGCGTTCAGTCGTCATTCCGAGGGTGAGTCGAACGATTAAAAAGTAATTAATTGCCTCGCGTGCTCCGGCTTTTCGTCGCCGACGAATTAGCCGTTACTGATCTTTGACGAGGATGTTCATATCGCGACATTGTGTTGACGAATCGGTAGCTGTTTTCACATTTTTTCGTTTATTTCTTTAAAGACGCGAGAAAAACATGTTTGCTTCGACTCAAAGTTAGTCTCTATATTCATAGAATTTTTATTTCTTTAGGAACGACGTGTATATTGTCCCTTCGTGTCGTTGTTCTTCATCAATTATCATTTTTTCTTTTGCTACTTTTCATTAACGAATCATCACTTTTTCCTTTGCTGCTTCTTGGAAATTATAACTTCCTTTCGCTACTCTCCATCGATCACTTCTCAACAAATAAACAACAAGTTAGCTTCTACAATTAGTTCACATTTATAGAGTTCTACATTCTTCAGCAACGACGTCTATATTGTCTTTCCCTTTCGCTGTTTTCCGTCACTTTCTCCTCTGCCACTTTCCATTAACGAATCACCACTTTCCCCTCTGCTACTCCTTACAAATCATCACTCTCCCTTTCACTACTGTCTATCAATCACCTACTTGAAATCAAAAATCTCCCCAAGAAGTATCAAAAAGCTCGAAGCCAGCGGCACGAGCAGTGCGGCAAGCGAAATCCGAAGGAATCGGATAGAAGCTGGGAACTAGGCGTCATCCCTGAAGGGTTAATTCAATACGGTCCCCAAAGAAGCTGCAACAATTACCGATCGACGGTGAACGCTATCGAATCACGGACATTAAGCATCCACCGCAAAAAAGCGATATAAAAACCGACCTGGGATCCCCGGGATGGTTACGTGCTCAGCATGCGCCCTCCCCGGCGAGCCAGTTAAAAGACCAACAACACGCACTCCGGTCGCATTCAGCACCCCGTTCAGAGATCCACGCTCGCGGATCTCCTTCGCGTTGCACTCGAATGCTCGGGCAACAATGAAGTATTGCTGCCAGGCAACCGTCGTTATGCACGCAACAATGGGCCAAGAATCGAGGGGTGGAGCAGGGGAGGGTGGCGCCGCGTGCAGCCGGCGCATTCTGGTGCATTACTTTTATCAATTCTCGCGGGACGTTGCCTTGCACTATCCGCGACGCAACAATGCGTTCAGACGCGTCGTCATTGTTCGTAGCCGCTCAAGAAGCGCACAGACCCACCTTAGACTCTATGAATATGGGATTCCTTCGTCCCGAAGGGTCCTTCCGGTGTTTCCGCGCGTTCCTTTTCCAGCAATGGCAAACCCAGCCCGGATGACTACGCTCGTTTTCCGAGCGATGACTGGATTTCCGCGAGAGAGAATGAATTCCTCGCACGGACGATCCGCAGATCGGTCTCCCTCGATGTGTACTAGATCCGAGACAATAGTAGGTGTCACTCTTTCCAGTCTTGTTTCGGTTTTTCGTTCTTATACGACGTTGGCACGTGGATCGGGAGTTTCGTGTTTGTAACGCGAAGATTCTGTTACTCGAAGTTTCATCGATTTCGAGTTGGAATAGAAGTTACCCGTGATGATTTCGTTCTTATGCAGTTGAGGGGAGTTTGAACGTACACAATAGAGTGCACGCGATGCGAATGGACATAGAAAATATAAGAACACCGCTGGGTTTCTAATTATATTTGTAGAGATTTCAAATAATCAAGAAATTCATTGTTGTATCTATCCCTCATGAATCAAATTCAAACACGATTTTACAAAACTCGCGGCTCGACTTTTTTCTGCTGTCTTCCTCTGCGTTTTCGTTATTTCGCGATACTCGTCCATTTCGGTTCGTCGATTTTCAGTCACTGTTTTTAGAGCTCATCTCTCGGTACTGTGGCTGTTAATCGACTAGCGGGTTAAATCGACACTATACATATATTTCACCCTTTGCGGACGAATGTCGACATTTCGGTGAGATGAACCGTTCATATTTGAAAACTAAGTCACAGGCAATTGATTTAATTACTCGGACAGCAAGAGATTAGCATGTAGTTCCTGTTATTGCTATTATTTAAGCAATTAATGTATAATTTAGTTTCATCCGTTGAAGGTTTTGTACATTTCAAAGAACCTTCGTCCGCAAAGGGTCAACAACTTCAATTTCCGTGCGATCGAAGTAGTACAGTAATGATTATTAGAAAAGTTATGTGTAAAGCCGCACTTCACCATCCGTCGGTCGCATTGTATTTCACGGGTTGGCTGTTTCCGGTCGGAAGGAATCGCTCCACGCGTCTTGCATAGCGTATGGGGCGGAGAAGAAGTGGCGGGCCGTGGCAATTCCTTTCGGAATGGTAATAGGGGCTCAGGTGGCAAAGGTGATCCGACCCCGCTTATTATGTCGATATATCGCGAGCAAAGTACACGCGGGGAACAATAGTGTCTTAACGATACGGAGGCGGATAGTTTTCCCGATCGTGCGTCATAAAATATCCATTACTCCTCCCCTATCATTCTCTTTTTGTTCCTCTGGTTATATTCCCTTCTCTTTTTTTTTCATTTCCAAACCACCGACAGTTTTTTTCATCGTTCGCTGGGAAACGCTCCGTTCCACGAAAACAAAAATCGAAGGGATTCGCGGCCGAGATACATCACGCCGGTTCTCACCGCTGAGCGTTTCATACACCGATAAACTGGACCGCGGATTTCATGCTCCCGTGACGTTTACGAGTGTAACGAATGCGATGGAATGTAGACACCGTATAGAACGTTTAATAAATGTTACGTTTCATTTGAAATTAGACGAGAAATATGATAGACATTATAGTATAAGAACAGGATCCTTCGCACTCGAAAGTTTTGCATTGGTAATAGTCAATTCGCGATGAGATATAGGCGACATTCTTTGAAATCAGCTAGTGAGAAAACGTAATTAAGAAACAAAGATTAATAGTATGTAAAGCTTAATATTATAAAACTTTGTAATTTCTGTGTATCAAATCAAGGGATGAGAGCTACGTTTCGAGTACAAAGGGCTAGCATTGTTAACTTGTTATTCGAGCTATCAACGCCGGCGGAATAATAGTCAGAATTCGTCCAGCAGGACGGCCTGGAATCCCTAAAAATTGTACAGGACAATGAATCGGATATTAACCGAAAAAATTGTCCGCGTTCGAGCCGCGTAAGCACGCAGTGAATCACGATTAAACGAGTTACATCGGTTCCCGGGGTCGGAATAAACGCCCGGAGCGTGGACATTTTTCGCGAGCGGCTTTATGTATCCCGGAGCATAATATCCTTTGGAAATCGACCGTCCCCGAGAGGGTGCGTCCTTTGCGGGCAGCCGTGCAGTTGCATAATTATGTTGCTGCGTTGCGTTTCAACGGGTGCTTTCTCGGTTGATTGCGGAAGGAGTTTTGATCTCGTCGATAATTGTTTTCACATTTAGCAGCTTAAGTGCCGATGATTGTGTCGTTATACTTTCGAACGTCTGTTGCAACTGAAATTCTTAGTTATAGCAGAATTATAGCAGTGAAATCGATAGTGCGAAACAAGTGAGCAACGTGTCAACACCTGGATTGTGAATTAATTGAATTGACTGATTAGTATTTGCTTAGATGAAAATTTGATAGATGAATAGGTAGATACATAGATGGTTATATAGATGGCTACATAGATACATAGATACATAGATACATAGATACATAGATACATATACACATAGACACATAGCCACATAGATTCATAGATACATAGGCACATAGGCACATAGATATATAGATTCATAAACACAGATACCTAACCACATAAATTCACAGACGCATAGACACCTACACGGCCAATTCGATAGACAATAGAAACTACATCCCAATAATTCCAAAGAAACCAAAAACCAAATGAAACAATCGCTATCCAAACCTACCCGTTAGTTCCAGCTTTAATTAAAATTTTCCCCCGGTTCTCCGCAGTATTTGTTAGGTGACCAACGGGAACCCGATTCGCGAAAGATTCGTTCCTCCTTCGCGAGGCGGGTCGCGCTTCCTCGCTCTTCCTCCCCGAGGAGGAAGCGAGGATCCGACTTTTATCCGCTCCACCCTGCGCTGGCCGATTATTATTTCAGGTTACCTTTCGCCAAGTGTACTTGCGCGCGCTTTATACTCGAAGGTAAAACCGGCTTGGAGGAGCTCGGAACGAGGTTGTATCCCCGAGGAGGCCACCGACTCCCGCGGGAGATGCCTCGATGCCTCTTTCTCCCTCCTTCTTCTTCTCCCTCTCTCTTTCTCTCTCCCCCTTTCTCTATCTCCCTCTTTCTTCCTCCTCGTCTCTCCTCCCTTCTCCCTCGGCCTCTCTTTACCTGCTCGCCTGAAAACATCGAGGCTCCTTCGTTTCTTTAATACATGCCCTCCGCCAACGCCGCTCATTACCTCGGAATAAAATGACGGAACGTTAGCGGCTCAGGATTTCCCAGGGACGTTTGTTCACCCTTTTACAACTCGACGACGTTTCCACGAACGTCTGGGAACGTTCGAATTCTCTGCCGAGTTATCTCGTCGCTGGCTTTACCATGAGAATGCTTCTGACACAAGGAATACAGGACGTTTCGAAAATCCTGATGCAACTGGAACGTCGCTTGTAGAATTACATTCACTGCCACGTTGTCCCGTTTTTTTTTCGGGGAGCTTCTTGTCGCTTATCGAGTTCCGGGGTGATGTATACTTTTAGGGACGGCACCGGGGATATGGAAGAGACCGGACGTAAAAAAGATAGCTTTTCGTTTTTTCGTGGAACAGGAAACTTTCCTTTTGTTGGTCGGACTTGTGCAGATCGATGGTAGTTTTCATAAAGCTGAACGGCAGGGAGGGAAGCAAGTTTTGATGTATCTGCAGAAGTACGGAGGTGTTTTTCCAAAAATTTCCTATTCATTTGCAATGCGTATCCTCTTCAGCTGTTGGAGTTACGGAGCTTTTCCAGGCTTACAACCAATCTCCTGAAACAATCTCCTATTAATGCTAATACCATCTCCTTGCATCTGAAAGTATAAAGT